ATTCTAGCAGAGAGAACCTAGCCTCATAATGAACCACGTTTATTTATGCTTCTTGATAGAGTTTTTATTATATATTTGGCGCTGCGTTGCTATGGCTGACATGACATGGGTTCCAAAACCCTAAGCATTAATTGCAGTGTGGCTGGGCGTTGACGGCCTCATCATCGTTGATGGGGCACCAGACGCCCTTTAGTCACCTCCCACCATTTCTCAACTGCCCGACGCGTGGCCTTATTCGAACAGTGCATTTTATACTTTATTTTACTAATGTCCCTACCATCATTATCATTGAAAACAACAAGGTAATCGGTTCTACTAAAGGGATCAAATGTCGCAGCCTACACCGATGTCAGCCCCAACTGCGGTACTGTTCTGCCATTTGCAGCTTACATATATGCTGGTTTTATTCCCCGCTTTTTTGGGGCTGTTTAGAAAGCGATTCAGACTTGGGTATAAGCCCTGGAGGTCATGCGTCCAGCCAAGATGACCATGCTCAAAACCATAAGAGACCAGGAATGAGCTTCCATAGCCAAAACACACTGCCTATACCGAGTAGTTGCTATTTTTGATTGTCTTAGTGAATGTCTCTAAATAGTTATACATACGAAACTCTTTCCATCTGGTGTAGTAATAGTAGTTGGCGCCAAGTGCACATAGCTTGACCGCATCAAGGTTATGAGATTTAAGATACTTTTGCCAGAATCTCGTGTATTCGAGTATAGGGAGATAAATTGTTCCAAAGTATTACAGCGTAGAAGGAAATGTAATTATTGACCTTATGCCGGCTCGCAAGGCTTATAAGGTATCTGTGGACTTGATGCTGGTTCGAGGTGAGGTTGACGATTGATGTATTGAAGCAAAGAGCAGGCTCGTTCGGACCAGGTAGACACTAGCAAGTAATAACTAACTGACGAGTTTAGCAACGGAAATCGCCGACCCATTGAAGGAAAAGCCCCATCTTAAATAGATGGTATTACCATTGTGTGGATGATTGGGGTCTAAACGATGGCTGTAGATATGGTCTAGCTTAGAGTAGTTTATGAGTCTACCGGATATATGCTCTTAATGACTCGGTCTCGATTCTCAAATGCCCTTTTGCATACGCCAGTTCCTCTCGAGAGAAAGATGTCAAACCCATGAGGGCATCCTGGATACACATGGAGCTCTGCACAGATACCGACTTGTAGAACTTGGTGGCAAGCTCAATCGACTCATTTCTGAAGAGATCCAACTCGCCCACCTCGATATACAGAGGCGGCATACTCGCGGCATTTACCATGCGCCCTGGCGTGGATGTTTCGGTCATCATCTCTCTGCCCCCACTAGAGTGTAGCAGAGCCTGCCAGCCGGTCTCGTTGTCCGTAGTGTTCCAGCTTAGAAAAGGGGTCAAGTGCTCGTCTGCTGATACTGTGCGATCATCAAGCATAGGAGATAGCAAGATGAGCTTTGCAAGACGGGGTCTATCTTCCTGTCGAGCAAGGAGTGTCGCTGCTACAGCCAATCCGCCACCAGCGCTATCCCCCATAATACCAATGCGGCTGTTGTCTACTCCAAGCTCTTTCGAGTGCGCGACTAGCCAGTTCACCGCGGCATAAACGTCGTTGACGGGGTTAGGATGGGGATGCTCCGGAGCCAAGCGATAATCAACTGCGAGAAACGGCACTCCCGTGCCGGCGACATATGCTGCCACTACTTTATCAAAGGTCGCTACACCGCCCAGGATCATACCGCCACCATGAGCGTATATCACCGCTGGGCTTGGAGACTTGAGGTTCGAATAGTACTAGCGAAGAAGGATCTTTTGGCCGTTCTATGTGTCGGCAGTTAAGTCTCTTGTTATGGCCTAGTCCAGA